GTCTCTTAAAGGAACAGTTCATACAAAAGTGAATTTTGTCATTATTTACTCACCCTCATGTTGTTCCAAAGCCTTCAATATTTCACAAACTGGGTTTGTTTAACCCATGACTTACAATATAGCACACAAGCCCTCTAAACCGGGGGCTTTCAATCCTTTTGATGCCACGGACCCCTAAATATAACCATCCCACATGAAAAAATACTATAGTAATTTATAGTAAATGGTTTAAAAACACTATAGTAAAGTACTTGAATTAATTTGTTGTGGAAATTCTATAGTTTCTGTAATATAGTAATATAAACAAATTACTTGACCCAATACTGTACTAAGTTTTCTACAACTATAGGGTGTATTATACTACAATACACTATAGTTTACTAAGTAAACAGTAGTTAGTTTAGTAAAAACTAAAGTATACTACAGTATTTATCACAGTTTATCAGTTCGCTGTAGTTAATACTATAGTATGCTGTAGCATTCATTAACAAAGTGTTGTAAATACTATAATATATACAGTATAATACACTTTACTATAGTGGTTCAAAAACACTATAGTATTTACTATAAATTACTACAGTATTTTTTCATGTGGGATCCTTGTGTGAGGAACAGTTTCTATTATACACTCTCAGAAAAAAGGTACAAAAGTTGTCACTGGGGTGGTACCTCTTCAAAAGGCACAACTTTGTACCTAAAGAGTCCATATTGGTACCTTAAAGGTACATATTAGTACCTAAAGTGTACATATTAGTACCTAAAAGGTACAAAAGTGTACCTTTTGAAAAGGTACCGCCCCATTGACAGCTTTTGTACCTTTTTTTCTAAGAGTGTACTGTGAGAAAAAAAAATCTCATGCAAAAGTATGCTGGTAATTTTCTGCAAGTACAATATCCGTTAAGTTTACGGACGTTTCCTTTAACCCTGAAAAACAACACAATGCAAAGTGTAATTCAAAATACAGGCCTGTGAAAAATGAATACTGAAAATTCCTTCATGTTAACACAGTGCATTGGGTCCAATTTGTATGTTACATAATTACGTTTCTATATTTACTACACTGTACTGTTAGATGTATTAATTATTTAAACATTTATTTATTTTTATTTATTTTATATTTCTATTTATTTTAATCGTCTTTCATTTGTTTAGTCAGTTAGTTCTCTTTTTATTATTTATTTATTTACTTTTTTTTACAGTTTTTCTCCAAAAACCCCTGATGTGGTCTTTTATGTTTTTTTATTATTATTATTTTTTATTTTTTATGTGTCCTGTACTCTTAGATGTATTAATTATTTAAATAATTTAATAAAATAAAAATTATTTCATTATTTATTTTAATAATTCTGAAAATTTGTATTTATTTTAATAATGTTTTAGTAAGTTAGTTAGTGTATTTAAACAAATTTTTTTTTACAGTTTTTACACTGTTTTACTCTAAACTTTTCCACAAACCCCAGTTTAAAAACCTTTTATGGTGTTTTTATCTCCTTTTTGGAGGTTGACAGTTGTGTCCTGTACTGGTAAATGTATTAATTATTTAAATTATTTAATTAAAATTTATTTATAAATTTTTTATTTTATTCATTCATTCATTCATTCATTTATTATTTATTTTAAACACTTTTTTTTGTTCTTATTACAACCAATAAGGGTTATTTTTCTTGTGTGTTTCTTAATGTGTTTCACAGAACTATTAGAGAAGCTCTAGACTGGGTTATCATGAGCATCTCAAAGCGAACAGACACCAGCAGCCCCGCAGATCTGATCCAGTGTAAATATGCCACCATATAAAGACCAAACCAGCAATGCAGGAAAGCAGTTTTGCATACTCCTGTTAATGTAATTGCTATGGCTTGTGGGTGAAACCCACAGATACTGTATGTGAGAGCCGGCGGCGTGACGTCCTCGCCTTCAGCCGGAGCAGCGCTCACCTTTAAGTGCTTTCCAGTGTGTGCGCAGATTCGCAGTTTCACTAGAGCGCCAATAATCAGGCCTCGCTGCTGGGGGCAGGTGTGTGTGTGTGTGTGTGTGTGTGTGTGTGTGTGTGCGTGTGTGTGCGTGCGTGTGTGTGCGTTGATGTGGAGGGGATATGCAAAGGGCTTCTGGCATTTCCAAAGATAGTCAAGCTGACATTTCTATTGACTTTGATGTTAATAATCCCTCACAAGTTCCCAAAGCCAAGTGATTTTGTGTGTGTGTGTGTTTGTGTGTGAGTGTGTGTGTGTGCATTTGTGTGTGTGTGTGTGTGTGTGTGTTTGTAAGAATAGTTGTAGTTTGAGGGGACGCCGAGGGCCATTGTGGACATGGCCAACATTTATTCATCATTATTTGAGCGTGTGAATAAATGCATGATGTTTAAATTATTATTTTGTGGGCTGAATCTGAAAACACAGACTTTGAATTGTATTTTTTCTGTTGCATCTATTACATCTTTAATGCATCTGTTGCTCAGTGCAGCATCTGTGAATGAAACAGTCTGGTGTTATTTTAGTATCATTGAGATGCTATTATAATTTTTTAAATACTTTAAATTATTTTTGTATTTTCTATTTTAATTGTAATTTTATTTACAGTGTTAGTATTTTGTTAGTTTTTTATGTGCACTGTAAAATTTTTTTTTTCGAAATTCTAAATAAAACAAATGATTGGATACATTTGACAAGAAAATACTATTTTAGTCTTTCTACTTCAAAAATTAATGTTAAATGCATTGTGTTACTTGCTGTTTCTTTGTGAAATTTACTAGCAGTTTCTGAGTGAAAATTATTTAAAAGTTAAAAAAAATTCTGTATGTCTAAATAGTTTGTAATAATTTTGAATTAAATTCTAATTTTAGTTAAGTACATCAAGTTAAACTAAATGAAAATGTTGCCTTGGCAATTAACTAGCGGAAATACATTTTTATTTATTTATTTTATTTTTTAATTTATTTATATGTTTTGTTTTATTTTATTTATTTCAGATAACATTTATTTTATTTAAAGTAAAATTTTTTATTTATTTTTTTGGTTTTAGTTTTAGTTATGACACATGAGACAAAATGTTTGAATGAACAGAAGCACAGATGAGATTCAAGAGCAACATCAGAGGGAAGATTCAGCAAATAATGACTTAAATTCAGGTCTGATACTTATACAAGGCATCATATGACTCATGACAATAATCATTAGGCGTTGTATGGTCTACTATTATCATTCTTTAATGGTGCTTTTTGTCATTTGCATCCATCCACATTCACTTTAATATGGAAAAGAGCAGTCTGCACATTCTGTTGAATATCTTTTGGGTTCCACTGAAAAAAATAAAGTCATGAATAAAGTGAATGATGACAGGTGCTTCATTTTGGAGTGCTCTAGTCCTTTTAATTACAGTCAACAATATTATACCTTCATGTTCTGGTAATGCATTGTGTTTCTTTCCTGAACAGCGATGCTGTTTTTATTTTGGTGGGAGGAATTTTTAGCCATAAGCGATGCAGCTCATAACAGATCAGTTGGAGCA